CCATATAAAATATACAAAGTGTTCGTAAATATAACCCCTTGTAAAAGTTCAATGCTTAGCTAAGGAGTCAACAAAATGAGATGCATCTCCTGGAGAATCAAAAGTCTGAAATGAAGAGTTGTGGATGACCCGCAGCTTGGCTGGAAAACGAAGGCTGTGTTTCACCCCGAGATCACGGAGAGTTTTAATCACACTTTAAAAAGCCTGGCGTTTTTCCATCACCTCAGGAGTGTAGTCGGGAAAGATGTAGACCCTGGATCCATTGTAGTGTAGAGGAGATTGTTGGCGGCTGAGACGTAGAATCAGATCCTTATGTTTTGCGATCAGTGTGCGATGTCTCTCCCCGTCTGCAGGCTTGGGTTTCAGGATTCGATGAGCTCTGTCGATTTCCAAGGGCTTGGTGAAATTTGTCTGACCAAGCAATTTCGGAATGAGCTGCGATTCTCAAGGTCAGCGCATTTAGTCCGCAGTGCCTCGTTGGTAGCTGTGAGGTCGCGACATGTCTTCTCTACTGAGATCAAGCGAGCATCCAAATTGTTAGCAGGCATCATCGAGGCCGACCACTCGCTCCCGCATGGTAGAATGGTCCGATTGTAGCTGAGCTAACGTAGAATCGATAGCGTCCAAGCGGGAAGAGATGGAAAGCCTGGTCTTTTCCAAAAGTTTCCTCACTTCTTTCCCCTGGTTATCGATGGCCGCGAGGATGGTCCTTATTGAGGAGGAAGAGAGGGCATCCCCCTCGGACAAAGCCTCGTCGTCGTTGCTCGCCAACATGGCGACCGGAGGGGTTTCGCTGTCCTTTCGTTGTTTCGCTTTCACCCCAGACTGACTCCGAGTACAAGGCTTCATGAACACTCGCTAGAATTTGAAAACATAGCCAATTTGGGATGCCACTAAATGAAAAATAGTGCACTATTAAATTCTGACTCTTGCACCCCAACAATGCACAATATTGCAAAAAAAATGTTCACTTGGGATTTATCCACATTAAATACTATCGTGGCTTATTGCTTTAATAACCTAATTACAGCTTAGCTAGTTGGCATTGAAGTCCCTGTAGTTACTTAATAATAAGCCTTAGTATGTAATAAGCCTGAGATTTTAAGGGGTTGAGAACCCACTTACGTGGTTTTTACAAAGATTCTGATTTTTCTTATTTGGGATTTGTATAGGTAATAGCAGAATCTACACACACGTGAAGGCACAAAGGTGTGAACAACCCTGTGGTTTAAGAAGACATCTTAGGACTTATTTATTGGTAAAGAAGGCCCTTTAACAGGAGTTGAGTTTTTTACGGATACTGAAATATCCTTGTATAGGTGGGCCATCAGAATAAATCTTTGTTCTCTGACTCTGAGTCAGTCATGTCAGTAGACGAAGTCAAGGCCACAGCCAAGGTAGGAGAGAACTTGCCAAGCGTAGTATAGAACGGCTCCTCTTTAAAACTTCCTCATGCACAATTAAGACGGCCTTAGTAGGCTGTAGAACACATTATATCTTACTGACATAAGCGATACATGCAACAAATCTTACATTTAAAATAATTCAATTTACAAACTCTGACGCTGCAGCATCTCACAACTTACAGCTATTTCTACCATTTTTCAGATGGTTTTGTGCTGGGTGTGATGGATTGTGGGTGACAAAGTTTTAAAGTATACATCAGACGCATTCTTCAAATTCTCTTAAACAAAGGGTGCATTTCTCTGCATCCTATAAAATGAGACAGCCTTTCATGACGTAACAGCTGAGAAATGCAGACTTTAGCTCCATCCTTATCCTCAAGAAACGTAGTTGAAGAAAATGAAAGAGAATCTAATTGTTGCTGTCCGCTCACACAAAGAGCTGTTCAATCCCATTCTAAAGGTATAGCTGGACCGTGACTGGTTTTGATAAAACTCTTTTAGTCCTTAGGGCTTCGTTATATGAAAAAGACAACCACCATCAATACCAAACTGTACGGCTCTCGAGTGGCGCAATCGATTGGCCCTATCATCAGGAGATCGCGAGTTCGATCCCTGGTGATGCTACAGCCATCCGTAGCCGGGAGTCCAAGAGAGCACAAAATCCAAGAGGCCTCGCTTTCTGGGTGGGTAGGATGGCCCCCCACCTCTCCCCGCATGCGCGATGCTAGTCAGCGCAGGCGTCTGTTACCTGACGTAACAGAATTGGCGGTTTGGCGGTTGGCGCTTTCCTCCGAGCGCGTGGGCTAATGGCATCAGGAATGTTTATATATTCAGCGCAAACTGAGTTCTGTTTAAAGCAAAATATGTTCACTATCACTCCTGGACATTACATGATTATATGGTCTGGGGATAGAAGAAAGCCCCTTTATTATGTGTGTGCATTTACAGAAGCATAAAATTAATTTAGTTAATAAGTTAGTTTTTAAACGTTTCTTCTCTGTTTGCACAAAGGCAGTATTGTTTGAACATGTTAAAGGTGGCACAGCACACCTTAATGGCACCTTTCTTCCTGCTATGTACCAAACTAGTCAACACCCACATGGAATGAAACTGCATTTGCCATGCCAAGCGACAAGGGACGGTGTAAGAGAATAGTGGTGAGGATGGGGGAAAAAATATTAGCCAGTTCTTATTTTTAGAGGCATGACAAACTACCCTCCTCTAGAATCTCTGCAACATGAGCCAGCTAAATGTGAGTAAGTGCCCTAATATAAGCAAGGTCAGTTCTTCCTTGTTTGATCAAGTGTGTCTGACTAAGAAATCATCTAAAAATGGTGACTCAGATATTAACTCACTTAAAAGCAAAGTCAGCAAGTGCCAACTTTTCACTCTGTCTATAAATAAAAGCTTTGCGTTGTTATTTCAGGTATATGTCTAATTAATCAATGAGAAAACACTGTCTTTAACACCCTGGACATGTACAGTTGTATGCAAAAAATTGGACACCCCTCACTCGATTACATATGTTATTGATTTTCAAAGTTCAAAGAAGTAAACACAAACACAAACACGGTAGTAAACAATTTTTAAAAAACATTTATTCTGCAAATGTTAGTACACAGTCACTTTAGATTTTATTAACTTCAAAAAGTAGTAATTGTGGCGTGTTCAAAAGTTTGGGGTCCAGTTGTAAATACTCAGAACTTGAATAACTCATTAGGCCTCAGTTGACTTGTTAGGGCTGGACTGGCAGCTCAAAAAATTGTCATTTGGAACTGTCAGCTTTGATTCTTCAAACTTTGTACTAATACTCAATAACCCTGGGCTTCTAAGCAGCTGGCTTAGGATCTAAAAATGAAATTAATTGATGCATACAAAGCATGGAAAGGCTTTAAAAAGATATCACAGCACTTCCAGCTTCCAATTTCCACCATTCAAAATGTCATTAAGAAATTGCAGTTAAGGGGAGGTGTGGAAATCAAGGCAAGATCTGGAAGACAGAGAAAAATCAGGAAGAATTGCTTGTATGCTGTCGCAAATCAAAATGCAAATCAAAACCACCATATGTCAGCACAGGACCTGCAGGAAGATTTAGCTGGCACAGCCGGCGGCGGTGGTGGTGGTGAACCATTCTACTGTGCAGCACTGTTTGCACAAACATGATCTGTATGGAAGAGTCATCAGAAGGAGATTTTCCCTACAACCTCATGACAAAAGTCAACGTATGAAGAATGCAAAACAACATATATATAAGCCAGAGGCATTTTGGAAATAAGTGCTGTTCTACAACAGGACAGTCATCCGAAACGTACCGTCAAAATCAACCACATCAATAAATGCAAGCTAAAGCTTTTGGAATGGCCCTCATAGTCCCCTGACTTGAACCTTAAAAGAACATCTGGGTGTTCCCCAAGGGTCAACAAGGGCATGTTAAAAAAAAAGTATTGAAATTATGGGTTAAATGATGGAGTTATGTGTCTTTAAATTCAGGATTCTAGAGATGCAGCAGTAAATTCAAAATAAATAGAGTACGTCTCACTGGCACAAACCAGTTCTCTCTCCCTCTCTTTTCTCTCTCTCTCTCTCTCTCTCTCTCTCTCTAACACACACACACACACACTTAATTATGTGCAGCCAATATTTATTATTGCAGAAATGTTTTTTGGCATGAACACATACTTTCATCAAATAAGGAAGAATTATGGATACTTTGTACTGATAGTATCTCCATTTGCACTGATAGTATCTTCATAATATAACAGAATCTACATTTAAAAAAAAACATTATTTTATTTCATCATATAAGTATATATGAAATAAATAAGCAAACATATAAATAACCCTGGGGAGTATCTCACAAATAAGGATTTCTCAGTTAGCCAGATACCCAAAAGACAAGGCATGTCCAATAGGAATGTCCCTCTGTTTTTTTCCTATTGGACAGGCTTGACTTTGGGCTTAAGTTATTTGGTTAAACTGAGAAATCCTGCTTTGCAAAAAACATCCCTGGAATGATAGGGAAAAGTAGCTTATTACTGTAAACAATAACTGAAACAGCTTAATCGAACAGTAGCTGCAGAACATCTTCCAGATAAAATGCCCAACCATTATGGGCCAATCACAACTGTGATTCAATATAATAATAATAAAATAAAAAAATACATAAATAATGATGATAATAATAATAATAATAATAACGTTCTATAAATTGATGTTTGACATTTGCCATCTTTGCCACCTCACTCCCCAGCAAGCCTTGTCTCAAAATAGCCTCAGCTGTTGGGCCACGTCTCCGTGTATTGCCATTTGTAGAAGGGACAGTGATCAGCTGCTTGCCAGGACATTCACTGGGACAGTGAGCCAGTTAAAATGCCTTTTTCACGTTTCCCAACTCAAAATCCAGTGTTATGAGTGTTTAAGCAACCCTATACATGACTCACATCACTCCAATTGCCCCAAGACATTTATAAGGTTACCTATAGGTTTTTTTTTTAATAGTTACAAACCAATAAAGCGAATGCAAAATTCAGAAATTGCTGTTACTCCCTTAAAGTTACAAGAAGGTTAATAATGAGGTTAAAAACAGTTTCTTACCCTTCCTCTTCCTTTCCTAGATCATGTAGACAGGCCTGAGGTGTCCGATTTGTCCGTATCCGTCAAAAAACAAAATAAAGAAAATTAACTGAAAAAGAAAAATCCTGTATCCCCTTTGGTATGTAAGTTTGGAGAAGAGTGTGGAAACAGGATGAGGACTGTGTTATTCCCCTCAGTCTCCTGCTGCAGGCAGCTTACACTAGTTCCTTTTTTCTCCACGATCCTCCAGCATGACAAATAGCTGACGCTCCAAATGGGTCCTGCCTCCTGTCTAAAATAAACCTGTCCCTGCACAGACCACCAGCTGTCAGACAACAGCTACAACAGAGGAGCTAATCAGGTGTCATGTCTGTTTTTCCATTCAATCATGGAAGATACACTCAGTTAAACAGCTACACTTACTATGAGTAACTTACTAAAAGACTGAGAAATCAGTCAAACAAAAGGTTCAATAGTTCATCTACTGTAAAACTGTAAACTGTAGATATTTAAATTGTGCACATGATTTTACTACAAACATTCCACTTTTATTTGCAAATGCTTTTGTATCAATCACCTAGAAACATCAAGGTGACATCTAGGCTAGTCTATGCTTCTAGATGTTTCTGTGACCTCCAGGCCTTACTGAACAACAATAGGCCTAAAGCTCCCTTGTTCATTAGTTGGGAATTAACAGGCCTACTAAATAAGAATGATACTGTCAAAGCAGTGACTAAGCACACTTCCTTCTGGGCATCAGCCTTGGACCGATAACTGATATTATTAATTAGTGTGGTTATCTAAATAAGTGCCAGTATTATGCAAATAATCATTTTTTCATTGTCTTTCATATACCATGCAATATTTTTAAAATTGCATTGCGTTTATTTAACCATTCCATTTGCTCATTCTAATTTATGATTGGCTTAAACATGAATGAAACAGAAGAGAATGCACATAATTATAGACTATACAAACAGACACATCACCAACTAATTAACATATATTGTTTCTGCACAGACAGAATGCAAAAAATATCCAGTGGTTCTGGTTGGAAACTAAAATATTTCCAAACTGGTGATTTTAAAAGTTAGCTCAGTTGGTAATTATATGGTAATTATGTTAACATCCAGGAAAATGCAGGCTATATGGTAAGGCTCTGTAATGTTCACATGTGGTATTCATAACTGAATTCAGATTATGATTATGTTGTTTATCACAACAATAATGCAGATGATAATCATTTGACTAAATGCTTACTGGACGCTTGTATATTTCAAAGCTCACATCACTGCAGTCAGTTAAAATCCACTTCCATATATAAAACACATGTAAGCTGATATCCACTTTGTTCATTTTATCGTTATATCATCCAAAATCACAAATCCAAAACAAATGTATCTATTTTCTGAATAAACAAGCCAAGGCAAATAAATTGATCTTAAATTCTGAATACTCTAGACTGTGTTTGCAGGACAAAGGCCAAAGGGACCTTTCCCAGGTTTGCAACACCAGCCACCCTTTTGATTGACAGCAGCAGGTTGGTCTAGTACATATTTAAAACTGTGTGAAACTCAAGCACTGTGATCTAACTTTCTGGATGGTGTAGCTTTTACTGTTGACAAGGTAGCAAATGAAGACTGACTTCAAATGTTGTTCCTATTTGCAAAGGTGAACTTTACAAACTAATGTGAGGGTAACAACATGTTCTATAGCAATTCTAAGCCATATCTATCGAGAACATGCTTCTGCACATTTTAATGCAGTTACTGTTTATTTGCTGACTTCAACATTTTTTAAAAAATAAAACATAAATATGGAAAACATTTTAGTATATTTTATATTTTATGTTTTTTTTACTAGCATGCTGAACGTGTAATTTGACCGGTGTTTTCAAACTGTTATAGATGATCATAAATATAGACCATTTAGCACTGTAAAACAATTTTCATAGGCCAAACAACATCCACCTTATGTTCTGAATCTGTGATGTTTCTGAGTACATTTTTTTTTCACTACTTTGAGTTAGTAATTGGCCAAATAGAGAAGAAGTGAAACAAAACACAGAAATGAACAATAAACTGTTGGATGAATAATACTTAACATAAAATCTGTATTACATGAAATGATAGCTTTGATTCCTGACATTTGAACAATTTGTTATGGCCACATTAGTGTGCACATCCCAGAAGATGATAATAATATTAATACTGACAACAATCTGACCCAGTGTAATGAACTATTATTGCTGATTGTCAATGCAGTCTTCCAAAGTAATATCCATTAGAGCACACATAAAAATGACCCATGTGCACAGAGGTTATAAATCTTTTCCACACCTTCCTGAGAAGCTTCCTATATACATTCCCAGCATGCTGCACTCAACTGTCCAGCTAAGAAATCGACAGCTCACATAATGAAAAAGCAACAACTTTTTGTTTAAATTTATTTATTTATGTTTGCCTACTTAATGTTGAGAAAGTCCTAACCAAAGTAATTCTGTAAACTTTATTCAGTCTGTAGGCACAATAGTTTTATATATCTAAATTTTGTCATATAAAAACTATGTGGTTTTTTTTTGGACAGTTTATTATTTGAAAAGATTTCATTAAAAATCATTGCACTCCTCATCCTTATTTTTAAAATGCAACACCGCAATTCACAAGATACACAACACATATAATGTATCATGTTATATATGTATCATATATTACCTTCCCATAGCCAGGACAAGTCCAGGTACACCTATAGATTTATTAACAGACAGTCAGGGAAACAAGCACCGCACTAAGCTTAAGTTATAGCTGTTGTTCAAAGAACTGCTGTTGCTGTTACTGTGCTGGTAACTGACCTGCCAGTGGCAACACTTCCTGACTGGAGATTTGTAGCTGATCATACATCTTCAGGTCATAAATGTGTAAGTTAAACACTGCCCTCTTCAGATCAAGCACTGGAAGTTACAAATGAGTATTCATGTAAATTCAGTTTTGATTGTACTTTCTGCCTTATCATGAACGAGCAATTTAAGATTAAGCATTTACAAAAGAGACTAGATGTGGACATTAAAAAATGAAATGTGTTAATACATGAAATATACATTTTAAAAATATGCATAAAACTCACAAGATAGGATGCACAATAACTGTATGCACTATACAAATGCAAAAAGTTAGGTATAGATACTAAATCATTTATAAAACTATACACTCAACCCTTAGGCACAAGCCAAAGATAATGCACTAGAAAGGTGCTGTTACCCATTAAATTCTCTACATTTGCTATACTTGTCTAAAGCTAAAAAACAGTTTTGTTTGTTTACTTATCAGTTAATTTAATGTCCTTGTACCCAAGTATAATGACTACTAGTGAAAATTCTCACCCCTTGAAATGTTTTGTAAATATAAGGTTTTCAAATACATATGGCAATACTTTTTAGTCTGATACTAAGTGTCATTTTCCACATCAGAAAAAGATCTTGATGTTTTGGGCAAATACAAAGGATGTGTGTGTACACACATACATATATAGTGGTACACTGAGAACATTGTAAAAAAAACAATATAAAAAATGTCAGGGTGGAAACCTCAGGCTTCAGACTGAAGCTCTAGTCTGATAAAATATTCCTTCTGATTTGGCAAAATACCATTCATTTTGGCTAAGCAAGTCCTGAGATTCACTCCGTTTTTAATTGATGAGTTCCCATTGACCGCCTCCACACAGTCGCAGCATGACATCATGGTACTGTTAAAAAAAAAAAAAAAGGACAGTAGAGAATTTTCATTTATATAAATTAAATGTCGAACTTCACTGTAAAAAATTGTATTTCATGCATTTTTCCTCATAATCCACTAACTGACTTGACCAAACACATGGCTTAAAAGATTTTTAAAGAAACATGTAGCTGTTTATCCATTTTCTATTCATTCTCTTTCTAATGATTTGTGCCCAAGAGTAATAGTAAATATTTAGTGATGTAGACAGTTTTATGTAGAGCACCTTTCGTATGATTTTTGAGGACTACTAAGTTGTTTTTTTCTTTTGTGATTTTTACCCCACCAAAACCATCCATCACATCTTAGCTAACTTCCACTCAGGCAATGTCATTGGACAGCTCAACATGTTTGGAAAAGCTAACACACAACCGCAGTGGCTAACATCACACTGACTGATGGAGAGAGAGGGAGGGTCATTCTGCCTACCCAGAGAGAGCGAGGTCAAATATGCTCTCTAAGAGCATAATTGGTATTTTTTACTGTAAAGTCACTTACATCACTTACATCTTAAATCACAGAAAGAATGCACTGGAAGACAAAATCTGAGGCACTGTTTGAGTGTGTGTGAAAACCCTCCTTAGCTCAAAAATCTGAGTTTCCTTCCAAATTAAAATCATACAGAAATGTTGTATATTCTGAGTGTGGTTAAATTTGCCTGATGGAGATGGTTGTTTCTTTTTATCAAATACCAAACAGCATTCCAACGGACCTAACAGATTTACACTATTTTATAAAGCACAGTACAGTCTCGTGGCTTTTCAAATTTCCATTACATTTTATCAGAAGTTCTTTTTACAGTGTGCCACCTGACCCTTCGTAACAAGCAAGTACAACCCCATTTCCAAAAAAGTTGGGACACTGTGCAGAATGTAAATAAAAATAGAATGCAATGATGTGCAAATCATGTAAACCATATTTTTAAAGGAAAATACTACAAACATATCAAATGTTGAAACTGAGAAATTTATTGTTTTTTGAAAAATATATGCCCATTTTGAATTTGATGCCAACAACACGTTCCAAAAAAGTTACCCATTAAATTCTCTACATTTGCTATACTTGTCTAAAGCTAAAAAACAGTTTTGTTTGTTTACTTATCAGTTAATTTAATGTCCTTGTACCCAAGTATAATGACTATTAGTGAAAATTCTCACCCCTTGAAATGTTTTGTAAATATAAGGTTTTCAAATACATATGGCAATACTTTTTAGTCTGATACACAAGTCATTTTCCACATCAGAAAAAGATCTTGATGTTTTGGGCAAATACAAAGGATGTGTGTGTACACACATACATATATAGTGGTACACTGAGAACATTGTAAAAAAAACAATATAAAAAATGTCAGGGTGGAAACCTCAGGCTTCAGACTGAAGCTCTAGTCTAATAAAATATTCCTTCTGATTTGGCAAAATACCATTCATTTTGGCTAAGCAAGTCCTGAGATTCACTCCGTTTTTAATTTGGTGAGTTCCCATTGACCGCCTCCACACAGTCGCAGCATGACATCATGGTACTGTTAGGACAGTAGAGAATTTTCATTTATATAAATTAAATGTCGAACTTCACTGTAAAAAATTGTATTTCATGCATTTTTCCTCATAATCCACTAACTGACTTGACCAAACATATGGCTTAAAAGATTTTTAAAGAAACATGTAGCTGTTTATCCATTTTCTATTCATTCTCTTTCTTATGATTTGTGCCCAAGAGTAATAGTAAATATTTAGTGATGTAGACAGTTTTATGTAGAGCACCTTTCGTATGATTTTTGAGGACTACTAAGTTGTTTTTTTCTTTTGTGATTTTTACTCCACCAAAACCATCCATCACATCTTAGCTAACTTCCACTCAGGCAATGTCATTGGACAGCTCAACATGTTTGGAAAAGCTAACACACAACCGCAGTGGCTAACATCACACTGACTGATGGAGAGAGAGGGAGGGTCATTCTGCCTACCCAGAGAGAGCGAGGTCAAATATGCTCTCTAAGAGCATAATTGGTATTTTTTACTGTAAAGTCACTTACATCACTTACATCTTAAATCACAGAAAGAATGCACTGGAAGACAAAATCTGAGGCACTGTTTGAGTGTTTTTTTTTTTTTTTGTGAAAACCCTCCTTAGCTCAAAAATCTGAGTTTCCTTCCAAATTAAAATCATACAGAAATGTTGTATATTCTGAGTGTGGTTAAATTTGCCTGATGGAGATGGTTGTTTCTTTTTATCAAATACCAAACAGCATTCCAACGGACCTAACAGATTTACACTATTTTATAAAGCACAGTACAGTCTCGTGGCTTTTCAAATTTCCATTACATTTTATCAGAAGTTCTTTTTACAGTGTGCCACCTGACCCTTCGTAACAAGAAAGTACAACCCCATTTCCAAAAAAGTTGGGACACTGTGCAGAATGTAAATAAAAATAGAATGCAATGATGTGCAAATCATGTAAACCATATTTTTAAAGGAAAATACTACAAACATATCAAATGTTGAAACTGAGAAATTTATTGTTTTTTGAAAAATATATGCCCATTTTGAATTTGATGCCAACAACACGTTCCAAAAAAGTTGGGATGGGGGCATGAAGAGACCGACTGTTGTAGTTTGAAAGTGAAATGTTTTCCCATTCTTTTTTGGTATAGGATTTTAGCTGCTTAACATTTTTCATTCCATAATGTGCCAAATGTTATCAGTGGTGACAGGTCTGGACTGCAGGCAGGCCAGATTAGCACCTGGATGCTTTTACTACAGAGCCATGCTGCTGTAATACATGCAGAATGTGGTTTGACATTATCTTGCTGAATTCTCTGAAAAAGACATCGTCTGGATGGCAGCATATGTTGCCAAAACATGTGTATATTGTTCAGCATTAATGGTGCCTTCACAGATGTGCACATCACCCATGCCATGTGTACTAATGCACCCCTATACCATCATGAATACTGGCTTTTGAACTGGGCACTGATAACAAGCTGAGTCGTCTTTAGCCCGGAGGACACAGTGTCCATGATTTCCAAAAAGAACTTCAAATTTTGATTTGTCAGACCACAGGACATTTTTACACTTCCCCTCAGTCCATTTTAAGTGAGCTCAGACCCAGAGAAGGTGGCAGCGTTTCTGGATCCTGTTTATATATGGTTTGTTCTTTGCGTTTTAGAGTTTCAACTTACATTTGTGGATGCAGTGATGAACTGTTTTTACAGACAGTGATTTTCAGAAGTGTGTCTGAGCCCATGCAGTGGGTTGCCCCGTCCCAACGGGAACGTCTTGTCAGCATCAAATTCAAAATGGGCATATATTTTTCAAAAAACAATACAATTTCTCAGTTTCAACATTGGATATGTTGTCTTTGTACTATTTTCAGGGTTTAATCAATTTGCACATCATTGCATTTTGTTTTATTTACATTTTTCACAGCGTCCCAACATTTTTGGAAATGGGGTTGTACATTTAGGTACAGAAGACTGCAAACATCCACAGGATGTTTGACTGCTTTGACATTTGTTATTTCAGTTAACTTGTCATCTGTAAATTAATACTACTTAACATAATTTCAAAGCCATCGCATGCAAAGATTTAGAATAACATCCACGAATGTTAACTGCTTAGAAACATTAGTGCCTAAACAAGTCAAGAAGCCAAGCTACCAAATACCAACAACATTTTCATACCAACTATAATTTTAATACTTCGATACTCGCTATAAAACACCTTTCATCGGAAAACTGAAGGCAGTAACTTTTCCAGTCGTGGCCACATTTTTAGAATACAAATAAGTAAGAACTTCATACCTTCTCCAGACTACTGCGGTGACCTAGGCTAACAAGAGTCATGCCCAGCTGTTTACAAGTCCTGTACAGCTGTCCCTCTGCTTCTTCTGTCAGAGCACTGGTGGCTTCATCCAGCACTGATATAAGCCAGCATAGCAACAAAGAAAAATGAGGTGAAAAATTAAATCTGTCTAACCCTTTGGAAAATAAAGAAATAAATAAATGAAGAGCCAACAGGGAGCCAAAAGAGCCAGCTTCTACAGATGAGCTGAGGCAGTTGATCTGCCTAACACTAGTCACAAACACTCTTAATGAGTTAAATTAGGTAAACCCAACATCTCTGAATGTACTGCAGATGATACATTATGTAAAATAAGATTCATAAGCACTCAATATTACTGACCTGCAAATTTTGGCTGTAGGTAGAACAACCTAGCAAAGCAGAGTCTCTGCATTTCTCCTGGTGATAAGACATCATACCTGTGATGAGGGTAACAATCTTTATAAATATAACAACTTGTTACTAACATATTATCTTTACTATAATCAGCTTACTGAGATTAACCAGCCAAAGCTCACCAGTTCCAGTCCACTTTCTCATCCAGTCCTCCTGTTCTCTTTACAAGACTGGACTGAAATATAGGACCAAACTTACCGTGATTACAACATTTTTTGTATCACTGCAAAACTGCAGATTTAACAGCAAGCAAAATACACATGTGATCTTATCCTGGCCTATCCTACTAAAATTAAGCCCCAGAAAATCAAAAAAAAAAAAGTCAATGTGAATGCTTACCACCCCAGCCAGTTCAAGGTACTGAAGAATTCTCTCATCATCAACAGAACCTGTGAAACAGAAAACCATCAGGCTGAAACTTGTAATCAACTTCATCACATTCAAACATTTTGATGAGATTCAGTCTTACCTGCTGCTGGATAAATGTCTTTCAAAGGGTAGATCACCTTCAGGCCAATAAAAAAGGCCGGTAAATTTACCAAAATTCATACAGTTCATATTTAATTTGCCAGTTCTACAAAAGACAGAATTCTACAGAATTCCTACAAAAGCTTAGTTTACTCTCCCCTTGAGGTAGATTAGTGGATGATAACGAGTTCCCTAGAAAAAGTTTGGAGTATCTCACCTGTTCTCGGAGTGTGCCATCAGTCAGGTAGGGTTTCTGTGGCAAAAAGAGGATGCCCCTTGGGCCAAAAAATGCGGTCATCGCAACAGAACCTGAGAATGAGGACACAGGAACTTAATGGTCACAGAACGTAATAAAAAGTTTTCTAATGAATCCTTAATATGAGAAGTAAGAAGACCCCTATATATTTTACATATTTCTATACAGTCTACAAGATATTTTGGATCTCCACCATACATGAAAGCCATTTCTTGCTGGCACAGTCTCAAAGGTTTGCATTTATGGTACATGTATACTTATGTTTACATGCATATGCCAGCAAGTGTGTAGTGTGTTGTTGTCAAATGATCTTAATCTGGACCTATAAATCATCTTTAAAAAGCAGTTATTTGATGAAAATTAATTCAGCAATGTCTATAATGCAGATTTGTATCAGACGCATATGAGCCTAGAAATTAAGTAATACCCCAAAATGAGGAAAATTAGTATTAAGCTCCCCTCTTTCAAAGTAGATAAATATAGCTCACCTTCAAAATATTAGCAAATATTTATTTATAATATATTAGAATTTGCTTATACATAGCAAAGTGGAAATAATAGGTCTAAGTAAAAAGATCATATAAAATAATTTGATGAAAGCTAGAATTAGATCCTTTCCTTTTGTAGTTAAAAATTAGAGCATCTAACCTACAATGCACTGAGTTGCAATGTAGCAGTTTATTAGGTACAACCAAGCCCAGCTTGGTAGTGACATGGTAGTGCGCGATGCTTGTACGAGTGTATCAAGCACAGCAGCACAGCTGGCATTTTATACACCTCAGTGTTATTGCCAGGTTGAGAATAGACCAAAAACATCCGGTCCCCTTCCACTGACAGACCACAGGAATGACTTTTTGTTCCAAAAATATTGAGGAATACAGAGGAATGACAAAGACCACTTGACTAAACCAAGGTTGGCTGATAAACAGTCAGCAACTGTAAACCTACAAAGTGCACCTACGTGGTAAGGTATGGTAATAAACCTGAGAATTAGTGTAGATGTGTATAAATATTTATCTCACCATTAGAAGGTTCCCACAATCGGTTGAGAACCCTGAGTAGAGAGGTTTTCCCTGTACCAGTGTTGCCCACCAGCAGGAGGTGTGTACCCTGGCAAATCTTGAGGCTCAGCTCTTTAACCAGCAGTTCCTCAGAGAGAGGACACTTATAGGACAGCTGCTGTAGCACAAAAGCAGTGTCACTGGAGAAGTTCAGGAATTCCCCGTCGCTATTTGAAAAAAATGAGAAGTAATTATGTGGTCTTTCAAAACAAATGTAATTGACTAATTGCAGCTAGCATACGTGCACTCATGTGACCACAGTAACATATCAAGACTGTCATAATTACCCTCTGAACTGGTCTCTTTTACAGAGCCTGATAGACACACCTATATACATGAGTGCATATAAATGGGTCCATCAGGCTCTGTAAAAGAGACCAGTTCAGAAGGTAATTATGACAGTCTTCATATGTTACTGTTTTTTGTTTAAATTCATTATGTTACACTGATGATAGTATCTATACCACATTTCATTTGGTCACATCTCCTCACTTTGGAGTGCTAGTATTTTATTTTAGACCAAAAGGAATCCCAAAAAGCAAAAACTAACACCCAACAAACACATACACCTGATAAAATATTTGGGTATTTTATACCTGTCAAAGTTATATGCCTCCCCCAGCGCAGGATCGCAATCACACTGTTTCCTGCCAATATCGCTTATCACTTCCCTTAACTCTCCAATTCTGTACAAAACAAAAAAAATACATCAAATAAGACTGAAGTCAATATTTCTAGACAGCAATTGTGCTTAAGCTTAAGTCATATTAGAGACTAATAATCAGCGTGATTGTATTTCTTCTTTTCTTTTAAGAGATATGATAAACACTCAAATCTTGATGTTATTTACTATGAGAAGACAATGAGAAGACTATGACAATGAGAAGACTGCTATGATTAATACAGCTAAACTAGCTACAACATGAGCATCAGCTCTTCAGTACATAATATTATGGGGCTGCACAACCACATTTTTGTCTTTCACATCTGGTGTGACAGTAGTCATACATGTATTAAAATATAAATGAGTCATATGCATACAGAATCTCAGTATACAGAATAATATACTAAGGATATTTCTATAGAGCATTTAATGTAATGAAAATGTTCTGGAATTTTTAAAATCATTAGAAAGGCCCTGATGACAATATCATCATCATCATCATCATCATCATCTAAAATACCTGTGGGTGTATCCTGCAACATCTGAGACTGTAGTGGAGAGGTCTATGAGCTGCGTGAAACAGTTAATCAGGTATATGCACACAAAGGCATTCTGGAAAAAAATGTGGGATACAGTAAGCAGAAATAAATAGAAAAAAAAGTTGTTTTTCTTTTTTATGTCTTGGGACATCTCTATCATCATTTGTTTTTGTTCTAATTTGTTAATGCATTACAGAAATTGTGCTTTACCATATTAAAAAGTACATAATTTCAGCTATATTATAACTTATCAATCAATAATTTGGGTCCAACTGCACAATAGTGAACTAGACAACTTTCACTTAACCCCTCATTTTACTTCAAAACCAATGTAGGGACACTAGTCCAAATGCACTCACATGCCATTTAAACCAGAGACCTCCAGTGCTGCTCCTGCAAAGCCACCATCTAACACATCTGACTCAAAAATCATTGCCTCAGAAAACTTGAATATTGTTGAAATGTCAAATTCTGAATCTTTCAAAAAAATTGTCTAAGTCCATAAATCTTCTATTTGTGCAAAGCATGGTCTCATGCAATGTAAAATAATACATCGCTTTCATTTCACTAAAGTCAGACTCTCCAAGATCTACAACAATATAGATCATACATGTGACTGATGTCACCAAGCTCCAGCGACCCATGTACATACATGTTGGTCCTGCCCCTCTTTGTACTCATATTGGATAGAAATATTTAAATCCTTTACAGATATATTAGGAAAACCAGTCAAGCCCAGTGCCATGATTGCCTTGTTTGGTGCGACTCCATCAGTATCCCTTTCATCTTTGGAGGCTGATTTTGTATGTTTTATCACTCTTCTTGCTAGGTGATTAATATTAATTAAATGTAAATCTTCTATATCGCCCTCTTACACATCACGGACTAAAGAAGTCCTCTGTGTTGTGAAACTGGAGAAAATCCGATGCATAAAAATGGTTCCTTACAGAGATTTTCAAAAATCTGGAATCCTTTTTTTCAAATATGTAGAAAATTTGTCCTCCCTAGAACTTCCTTCATGGGCTAGTTATTGATCACTCTTTCATAAGCAGACACAGTCTTACTGAAATATGTGATGGTAGTGCTTTAGACTGACCTATGTATTGATGTAAAACATTATTTTATTTATTTATGTATTTATTTACCCATTCTTTTTCCTTAGTCCTATTTTTCCTATTTTTTTTCACATACGTTTTCAATCTGTTTATTCATTATCACCCTTTTTAATTGTCTTTTATATTAACCTCGAAAGTTCAATAAAATATTTTAAAAAATTGTTTGTTACAAAATTTCTATGAAAAAGATTACAGATAGATTTTACATTTCTAAATCAAGCATGAAAAATTGTAATGAAGTTAAGAAAAAACATGAGTTCAAAACCTGACTCACTCAATTCAAAAGAGAAAATCCAACAAGCCTGGCTGGGCATCAGTTGTGCAAACTTATGCACTTCATCTCTTAAAGCTATCAACCAAAAGAAGGAATGTGCAACAAAATACTAATGTAAATAATGCAACAAAATACTAACCTAAATAAAATATTAAATACTAACCTAGATAAATGAAAAAGATGTTTGTGTCAATAAGGTTTTGAGTATTTTTTTTCTTGCTTTACTCAAGTTTTCAATTAATTATGGCGATTATTTTGAGTTTCAGTTAGCGGACATCATTGTTACTGCTGGCTGATATAACTTCTCTGATGCATACAAAAGAATAAATGATAACTTTAGCTTGGAAAGTAATAAATAAACTTGACTGTACTTAAAAAGGGTCCCAAGACTACTTCTGAGCACTGTATTGAGTACCATGTAAACCATGTACATCAAATATGTGACTGGAAAAAAAAATAATAGTGATTCCTCAGAACTAATTCACAACAGATGGCTTCACTTCTGACAGAGGCTCCACAGTCTAGCTCCCCAAACGCCATGAAAAACATCACCCATATGGCAACCTGCCCAGGCCAAATAATTAGAGAAAAAATACTGGAATTAACAAGATTTCTGCATAAATGCTCATAAAATACCTGATCCGACTTTCATCCAAGTCATGATAAAATCACACAACATTTAATAACCCAAAACATTTTACCGTCACATCTTGAACAAATGTTTAAACAAGCAGTAACACTTTCTTTGACAGTATCCTAAAGAGTATTAAAGGCATTAAACAGGTAAGTATGAGGTACAAAGTAGTAGGTCAATATTTTTGGTAACATGATATAATGTTCCAAGACCGTTTAACCAAACTGCACTAATATGCCCAACAGGTTCTAGCTGTTAACTGAATAAGTGTGAGGTACCAAAGTGTATCTCCAAAGGGCTATTTAATCATTTTGGTTAAAAGGATAGTTACTAGACAGTCAAGCTAACTTACACTGAAATGCATTAATGTAAAAAGAAAAGTAAATTGGAAAATTCTCTAAGTATGAGGTAGTTACATAGGGCAGAAAGGTAGTTCAAAGACACCTGAAGATATACAAGAGTCTTATTTAGTATAACCTGTATATGACCTGTAAATAAAATTGAATCTGGATAAAACTGAAGCTCAAAATGCTGGAAAGACAAAAGCATTTCTAAAGATTAAGGCATCCATTCATCCACAGTCACACAGACGGTTTACAAAAACTGCACTGTGTGCATCATTCAAAGATCACCATAAGGGCACCATGTACAATATTTAAACAAATGACAAAGAACCCAATGAGAGACAGATGTGAGTGTAAAGTGTGGAGGGAGCATAATTGTATGGAGTTGCTTTACTACATCAGGAAAGCCTACAATCACTGAGGAACCAATGAACTGTTATGACTTAGAAGAAAACCAAATCACATTTTAGGTTCACAAACTTTTTCTCACAATTGTATTCTCAAAAATCCTTATGGGGGTTTTAAGCAATGCTTCTGCCAATATTAAAAAAAATCTGACCTTGCTGACAAGAGAGCTGAGCTCACCAGGGGTCATACCATCATAGACACCTGCAAAGACAGGGATTGCAATGACGACGTAGCTAAGGATGCTTCCCAGATAGTCGAACGTGTTCACTCCAACTGTGTATTAAAGAGACAGTGTAACAAAATAAGCTTAAGATGTACATAAGGTAATATACAGTACCATACAAACGTTTTCGGCACATGAGGAAATTATTTAAAAAGCTGTTTATCTGAGCAGTTTTTTGCTCAGAAATATTAATATTAAAACAAATACTAAAGGAGTGATTTTATGTCTGTCAGTGTGTGTGCCCAGTAATTTTATTATAATCTAATACCTGGTTTGCCTAATCAGGGAAAAAAATTCAGATTTCTTTCTACTGAAGAATGTTTATTGTATACAGTGTTCTTCCTGCCAAAAACACTACCGCCAGGATGAATAGTTAAAAAAAACTTGCTTAGAGGCATAAGACTTTTGCACAGTACTGTATATACACATATACCTCATAATGACTGCAGTATTTGGCAACAGGAAACAAGGCACTTCAAAAAGTATTACATTCATGGTAGTGAATGTTTGCAGTTTCCTTTGGAAGTGTCTCAAAGCAACCATAAAAGCCCTATGAACACTAAACATGTCTTAAGTCAGCCAAATTAAGAACTTTTCAGTGTCTACATGTATGGCACCAGAATTTCTCCTCATATTCCCCAGATGTTTCTATGTAAATTATTATATTGAGTAAATATAGTGTAAGCTTTACTCTCCAATCACAAGACCATGGTCACTTGTCCCTTCCACATTTTTAGCTTTTTTGCAAAACTATGCATTCCTGAATGTCTGAAGCCTCACTTGCTTTTTAATATAAGCAAGCTAGTGAGTGAAATCTATCCTACCAAGCGTAGCCTACAATTCTGTCAGAATCTGCGAATGCAGGTTTGCTTTTGCAGACATTCTGTCTGATTCTTGAAACCAGATTTGGTAAGATCATATACGTAGGGTTAAACAATCCTAACTCTCAACGGTTATACCATTGTGCAGAGTTCCGCTTAAGAGGTGTAACAGGCTAAGAATCCTAGACAAAGTGAATCACTAGTCAATTAAGTGGGCTTATCAGAATACGGAATTTTAGAATCATAGAATATTTCTAGCTTTTTTTTTTTTAATTAAACTTTGCTGGATGTTTAACATAACACTCAACTTTGGTATCATTTGGTATCATCACATTTTTAATTATTTAAAAATTTTCCCTGGGACTGGCAGGGGGAAGAAACATAGACAAAGATTGAGACTTACTGTAAAGCCAGAGTTCCTTGTTCATCAGACTCCTCTGTGTGTGTAAGAGACTTTGAAGTCTCCAGTCTGTCCGCACATGCTCCACCTTGCCTGCCCTAAATTTGGGCAAAAGAAGAGACTTGTACTTGACTGGCGTTAAATGCTTAAGGCCACTACTGTCACTGAATGTCAAGAAAGCAGAAGACATCTTCAAGAAAGATTGTGTTTGGACAGTAGCTTTTTTTAAAGGTGACAAACCGTGTGTTTAATAACCACAGCAATCTGCATAACAACACAGGTAAGAAATGACCACAGACCTGATGGCACATGACAGACTGACCTATAGAATGCTGCTGATTCTGCATTGACTCTGATCTGCATGTGCTTGAATCTGATGGGATATAAAGCCATAAAAGTCACAGATGAGACTAAAGTAGATTTTGAAAACAAAGTTTTTTTCTCCTCCTAAGCAAATTCTTGACATTAGAATAACAAAGATAGTGTTCTGATCATGTCAGCGTTTTACCAGAAACATGGCTGTATCAGTTCTAAATAAAAGGTTGCATCTAGGCTGGAACTGCGTTAGTATAAAGTATTTAATACATTAGTGTTTACTTTTATCTTTCTCAATGGATGTGACAACAGTCATAATTGTACCTTTAATTTCCTGTGATTTGTTGTAGTTGTCAGTGAATAATCAGTGAATAATAAGTGAATTGTGCAACACAGATGTGAAAGTGACTAAGCAATGCAGGAAATGATCTGCTTTAGATAATTTAAACTTTAACTTATTAACTAATTAACAAGCTCCTCGTGTGCTGGGTCAGGTGTGCAAAGCAGGGAAAACAAATTGCCAGGACTGAAATTGGGAACCCCTGCTCTAAATGAGTAACACAATGTACATTTTTTTCTTGTGAGACTCTCTCAGCACAAAGTGGATAAAGATTTTTTCAGTACTGATCTACCTGAAGTCTCCTTCTAGCTTTTCTTGTTCAATCAGGGTGGACACAATGGGTCCCATCAGGATCTTGTTGGCAACTGTCCCTATCACAAAGTAGCCAAAAATACTAAGTAGTCCGATCCAACCAGTGCTGAATAAAGGAGAGAAAAGAAAACATAAACATGTAAATTCCTTGCAGTGTGAAGTGCTTCCAACTACAAGACAATCTGAAGCAAACTGATAGCTTTGATTACTAATATAAGATAAATATTTGTTTTCAGAATGCAAATCTCCATGGAGGACCATGCACAAAAAGATTAAGGATCGGTTTAGAAATTAAAGCATAAAACATATGCATAAGGGGATGCCAAAGGAGCCATCCTTGGCTTGCTCATTTGGGACTTGGACCCGGATTTTCTGTAAAGCTGCTTTGTGACAACGCAACGCTGTGAATAGTGCTATAAAAATAAATCTCGATGACATTTAAACCTAGAAATGGCACAGATTAGATTCCATCACAAATCTAGACAAAAAATGATCACAGAATATCTTGTAGCACAATATAATGTAAAGCAAAGCAAATCAAATTACATGATTTAAAGTAGACTTCTAAAGCATGATGTTAACATAAGAATGACATGCTTTTCTATAGCAGAATTACAATTCCATCATTATAGTCCATAAAAAAATTAAGTTGTGCATTTTTGTGTAAGTTGCGTCGTATCTTGCTGTAAAGTAATAAAGCTTCTGAGCATGTTTGAGCATTGTACTTTTAGCCCTCGTCCACTCATAGGCAGATATTTTTTTAAACATAGTTGCCAATACACTTAGTGAGGCCATGGTCTCCAGATCAGGCAAGTTTCATTAAACTATTCGGATACAGCCAGTGGCTTTGTTAGGACATTCAGACACCACTGCATTACAGTGTGATGAAAAGCTAAATTCAGTAATAAGCAATAAACTTTATCAACCCTCAAATTGTCAAGCACACAGAAACAACTCGGTTGTCTGCCATATTTTTTAAAAATCTCAAAGAAAGATTTAAAAAAGCTACATTTTGCCTATCCACATAAAAATGCTGGATAGCTTTCCAAAAATCTGGAGAGCACTTTCATAAAGCTCCATTTTTAGTGACCTGAAAGAGTGTTTTTGTATGGGTGGGAGACCATGCAAATGTAAAAATATGAAAAAAAAAACCTTTTTTGAAATGTCCACATATTTATGAACAGAGTTTTAGACATTAGTTGCTACACAAAGTTTTAGTATCGATGAAATCTATATATAAACCCAAAATTAAAGGTTTGCAGTATCTGCGGCAGTGGCAAAAGCACTATGACAGCAGTTACACACAAATTCACACTCACTTGTTGAAGCACTGTAAGGTGTAGTATGAGATAGTGAAGGGGGATATGACGAGCCTACTGGCCATAGTGCTCAGCTGCTTACAGAGTCTCTCTGCATCCTGACTGATCCGCTGGTCTCTTTGTAAACAAGTATGCACCCATACATATGGACAAACACACACATACAATTTCTAATCCACTTACACTGATATAGCAGGTTCAAGCATGCATCTGTACAGAGAACAGTCCAGCATCATTATTTGCAAGAATTTCATTAATTAAATCTTTGAAAAGAAACACTTTACGGGTTATCAATGTCCTTCTGGAGTACATTGAGGGTGTAGTACACTCGTCCCCAGAAGTAATCTCTATGAAGGTCCTCTGTTAAAGACTTCCTCCAGCTCACATACAGGAGACTACAGATGTACTGTTCAACACTTTTCAACTGAAAAAACAGATGAAGACCTGAATACAAAATAATCCTAGTTTTGGAAACCCTAAAAAATGCTTCCTAATAATCTGATTTGTGCTATATTTGGGTTTCAAACATGACTTTGTAGACTTCAAGCTAAAGCTACATTGTTGGATATAGAAAACAATCGAACACTGCTGTTTGGGCATGGCATGTGACCCACTTCCCTAATAGCAGAATTCTACTGTACAATCTGTATCAATATATTTTATCCTAGGAAACGTGAACTCTGAAAAAAAAATCAACCTATGGACTAAATGCCATAATGCATTATGCTGACCATTATGACCTCAGACAACAACTACCGGCACGATAAGCAATTCTCACTGATATCCAAATTAACAAATTCCCACATGAGAATTTTAAATCACACTTTCTACATCAAATGAGGCTGTTTTGTGTAGATTTAAAAAAATAATGAGAGATAATGGGTAAAGGTAACTTACAACAGAGTTGATAAGGATAAGGAGAATGGCAAATGACACCAACTCTTGAAACTTGCCATAGTTCTTCTGAGACAAGACACTGTAGAACTGGCTTGGAATAAGACCCACCTGATAAATCACCAGTTGAACTAACAGGGGGAAAAAGATTTTCAGTGAAGATACACTGTCAAAAACGGGCTTTTTTAAGTTTTAATATATGAAATTGAACTGATAAAGTGATAACAACAGCACAAATTACATGTTATCAGCAATACGGATAAGCAGTAGTTTAAAATACTGTATTAATACTTTTTGGCTAATTTTATTAAAAACAGCTGTTCTGAATTCACTGTTTTTGTGATGTCACAAAACTATTTACACATATCCTCTTTTTAAACCTACAAGAGTTTAGCTCAGCCCATTGACAATGAAGTTAATGATGATAATGAGCGCTTAAGCCAAAGCTGGTTCATGTATAAGGTCCAATACAGTGCAGTCAATCAGAACAGATGTCATTAACATAAATCATCATTAACATATTTCAGCCTTGTTTATGCTAAGGACTAAAGTGAGGTTGAATTATGACTGTTTTTTAATGTAATAGGTCTACTAACCCTTAGACAACTAAATAAACAAAAAGCAACCCACATTACTTACTCCCCACAAGCAATAGCCCTCATACAAAAGAAAATATTTCACACAAAAGAAAACTTCTTTTATTTTGTGAGGGCATGGACTACATTAGGTAAATAAAACAACAGCATACTGTTAAATACTGATTTAAGCCTGACCATGAAAAAGAACTTTTACAGTAAGTGATGTACAGTAGACTGCTAAACCAGTTCCTGATCCAGTTTACATTTAGCACACTGTTGTTACTCCCAAGAATAAACTCTCTAAATATTTAACATCATAATTAAGACACATTCTAATAATCCATAACAACAACAATAATAACCATAATAATAATAATAATAACCATAATAATAATAATAATACTTGATTTTTTTTTTTACCTAAAATAGTGACTCCAAGTAGTGTCCCAAACATTAGCACGTTCTGGTTTGACCAGCTTGGAAAAAGAATTTTCAGAATGCTGTAGAACCTCTGCAGAAACTTCCAGTCCAGTTTTGGTCTGAAATGGTAAAGATTTTAAAGCCAGTGTTAAAAGAAAGGGCACATGATATGCAAATTAGCCAAGTTCCCTGTTGGCTCAAAATGACTGGAATGAATTATTAATGAATATTACGATGACCACGTAAGTAAGTAGAAGTAATGATGACAGGTTATTCGTTCAGTTTAATCGCGACCCTCCAGCTGCGCAGTACGTTCTCCACTATTGCAGGGTGAGGTTTAAAACTGGCAGCTACCTTTTCAGACCGGTATTCCTCAATGGCATCATATGGAGGAATGAAAGACACTTCTCCTACTGTGAAACGAACAGTCATTCGAGAACTAGAATAACACTCAGGGGTTTTCAATTAATCTTAGCTAAGCTACTTCATTAGGCTCCGGGTCTAAAGTCTCACACAGCACGTGACAACGGGCAAACATTACCCACGGCAACCTCACTGTTCCTGTGTCAAGTGTTCAAAAACTAAGAAACAAATAAGACGTTAATGTCAGACTTCGTTGCCCCTGTGTGCCCAGTCAACCCAAAAGTCACTTACAACGAATGGCATTTTGAAAACAGAGTTTAAGACTTTCTACTACAAAATGTAAACACCGAATGATGTCAACCCACGTTCTTCTTCTGCTTTGAACTGAGAGCGCTGAGAGCAACGCGTTCTACTGCCCCCTGCTGTACTACACCGAATAGATGAATCTCATCTTCATATATGACCGGTTCTGGAGGCCATATGGATCTACATGTCAGCTGCCTAAAAAAATTACGGTAGACAACCGCAGTAAAGTTGGCTTGTGGTTAGCGATTCGGATTTCTACCGGCTATAACTCAGTAACGTGCATCCACAAACACTGGTGCGCTTTGTTAGTCCTGATTTGTGAATTCAGGTGACGTCATGTTCCACGCCAAAATCCGCCAATATAACACATCAGAGTTTTACTTTCTAAAGCATATAACTTCAAAAGCTCTCAGATGAATGAAACCAGGTTCAGACTGACCAGGTCGATTTGTGAAAAAATTCAGTTCTTATTTTGCCCGTCCGTGGCCTGTGCAGACCGCGAGCACGGAAAGTAAGAGTAAGTGAAATATGAGCGGTTTTTGACCTCGGCAAGTGATTTTCAACACAAATGACTTCAAAATCTATGGAAGTGTGTTTGATTAAGCAGAGCTCGATTTGTGAAAAAATTCACAAATGGAGCTCGCAGTGTTTGATTGCTACATACAGCTGTATCTCCTTAAGAATAAGACTATCTGACTTCGCAGTTTAATTCCACATACAAACATTATCAGTAACCTTGCAAATTCTCTTGTTGTATATATTACTTGATTTGTAAAAATATTCGGATTTTGTCATATTTTATTATTTTATACAGGTCTATTTCCAATAGCATGCATAAAAAATAGGATATTTCTATCATTTACCCAAACATTGACACAGTAATATACATGTAAGGATGAAAGCAGGCTAGAATTATTTGTCAGTTATTGATTAAAAAGCTGTTGCTCAAAAAAAGCTGAAAAATGTGTTTTTAACACAATTTAAAATATATACACTATAATGATCACGCTATGCATGCATACACTATTAAAGTCATGCAATTTTGGTTATCATCTGATTTGTGAAATCTTTCACAAACATGGTTTTGTATATTTGAGTAATTTATGCAGTTCTACTCCCATTTTCATGTGTAATAGCACAGCAGTTCAGCTTTTGGCGGCAAATATATATCATTAGTGCGTATAACTTTAATAACTGATTATGTATAAAGATGACAGCACACTAATATTAACTTTTCTAATTTGTGAAAACTTTCACAAATACATTTATGTCTATCATTCCTTTGTTGATCAGTTTTGGCGATACAAGCTGAATATTTGGAGGGCTTGGCTCTGTAACGCCATGTATACTTACAGTAGCAATGATATTTCACTTGTTTTAGCCATTACCTGATTTGTGAAAACTTTCACAAACATGGTTTTGTATATTTGAGTAATTTATGCAGTTCTACTCTAATTTTCATGTGTAATAACACAGTAGTTCAGCTTTTTGCAGCAAATATAGGTCATTACTGCGTATAACTTTAATAACTGATCAAGTATAAAGATAACAGCACACTCAAATGAACTTTTCTGATTTGAGAAAACTTTCACAAACACGGTTTGGTATATTTGAGTGATTTATGCAGTTCTACTCCCATTTCCATGTGTAATAACACAGTAGTTCAGCTTTTGGTGGCAAATATAGATCATTAGTGTACAAAACTTTAATAACTAAACAAGTATAAAGATCACAGCACACTCAAATTAACTTTCCTGATTTGTAAAACATTTCACAAAAACATTTATGTCTATCATTCCTTTCTTGATCAGTTTTGGCAATAAAAAGCTGAATATTTGGAGAGCTTGACTCAACATGCCATGTACACTGACAGTAGCAATGATATTTCACTTGTTTTAGCCATTACCTGATTTGTGAAAACGTTCACAAACGCGGTTTGGTATATTTTATTGATATATGCAGTTCTACCCCCCATTTTCATGTGTAATAGTAGTAGTACACAAATACACCAGTGTCACTGCAGTGCTGAGAATGATCCACCACCCAAATAATATCTGCTCTCTGGTGGTCCTGTGGGGGGTCCTGACTATTGAAGACCAGAGTGAAAAGGGATAAAAAATTTTGCAGAGAATCAGATGAACTACAGTCTGAAACTGTAGAACTACAACATTCTCCAATAAGGTAAGTGGGGCTGTTAAAATGTACAATGACCATAGATGCAAAGTAAATGTATTTAACTGAGTGGCTGGTCAATGTGTGTGTTTTTCCTTGATGTTATCGTAAATGCTTTGCACATTTTGTACAATTAAATGTTTTTACATCTAAAGACTTTTGGTTTTGCTAAATAAAAACTTACAGTCACTGAAGTAAATGAAAACGTTAAATAAAAAATAATGAATAAAATAAAAACAGAGAGTTTTCTCAGGTTGGAGCACTGATTAAAGCCCGCTTTCATTACTTGGCATAACACATTTTTGAAGTTATATGCATTGCTGTGCCAGTGTTTGACTACCTGGAATACATTTCACATGAGAAAATGTAAGCATCATATTATAAAACATTGAAACTTTATACATAATCAGTTATTAAAGTTATACGCACTAATGATCTATATTTGCCGCCAAAAGCTGAACTACTGTGCTATTACACATGAAAATGGGAGTAGAACTGCATAAATTACTCAAATATGCAAAACCATGTTTGTGAAAGATTTCACAAATCAGATGATAACCAAAACTGCTTGACTTTAATAGTGTATGCATGCATTGCGTGATTATTATAGTGTATATATTTTAAATTGTGTTCCAGTTTAAGTTGTGTTCAAGTTAAAAACACATTTTTCAGCTTTTTTTGAGCAGCAAATAATTCTAGCCTGTTTTCATCCTTACATGTATATTACTGTGTCAATGTTTGGGTAAATGATAGAAATATCCTATTTTTTATGCATGCTATTGGAAATAGACCTGTATAAAACAATAAAACATGACAAAATCCGTTTGTGAATATTTTTACAAATCAAGTAAAATATATAACGAGAATTTGCAAGGTTACTGGTAATGTATGTATGTGGAATTAAACTGCGAAGTCAGATAGTCTTATTCTTAAGGAGATACAGCTGTATGTAGCAATCAAACATAGCGAGCTCCATTTGTGAATTTTTTCACAAATCGAGCTCTGCTTAATCAAACACACTTCCATTGATTTTGAAGTCATTTGTGTTGAAAATCACTTGCCGAGGTCAAAAACCGCTCATATTTCACTTACTCTCACTTTCCGTGCTCGCGGTCTGCACAGGCCACGGACGGGCAAAATAAGAACTGAATTTTTTCACAAATCGACCTGGTCAGTCTGAACCTGGTTTCATTCATCTGAGAGCTCAACTTTTGAAGTTATATGCTTTAGAAAATAAAACTCCGATGTGTTATATTGGCGGATTTTGGCGTGGAACATGGCGTCACCTGAATTCACAAATCAGGACTAACAAAGCGCACCAGTGTTTGTGAATGCACGTTACTGCATTCCGGAGTTATAGCTGATAGAAATCCGAATCGCTAAACGCAAGCCAACTTTACTGTGGTCTGAAACCGATGGGATACGTGTCTGGTAAAATCAAGGAAAGGAGACAGGGCTGAGCGTGCCGACGACTAACTCAGAAATTTGAATGGCCATCAAGGGTGCCACTGGTAGTCGACTGGTTATTGGTCGTCAGTATTGGATGAGGATAGATGTCGTTTGTCGCTTTCTTGTTCAGAATCGGGGTCTATATGAGTACTAGTGTAATCAGTTTTTGTGAACATAACCGTCATAAAACGGAGACATCTAGTATCCGATTTTAGTATCCCATTCTTGCCTCATGTAACACTTCAGATGCTCATTAGGCCAGGATCTAAATTGTTGCATATCGCACTTCATAATACGCCACACGTTTTAAATGCGAGACAGGTCTGGACTGCAGACAGGCCAGTCTAGCACCTGTACTCTTACTACGAAGCTACGGTGCAGAATGTGGCTTGGCGTTGGTTTCTTGCTGAAACAAGTAGGAAGGTTCCTGTCATAGACGTCGTCTAGATGGCAGCATATGTTCCTCCAAAATGCGTATGTACCCCTCGGTATTAATGATGCCTTTACTGATGTGCTAGTTACCTATGCCATTGGCACCGACAGTATCTGCTGATTTAACCAGCTTGCTAGCATGAGCCAGCTCACTGTGTCACACATACACTGATCAGGCATAACATTATGTGTGTGTTGCATTGATCCACTCAGACCAGCGCAACACACACTAACACACCACCACCACGTCAGTCAAATTAAAATGGTAAAACTGAATTTAATTTTTTTTATTTTTAACCTACAGTTGTGGGACAAATTGTGGGAAATTTACATTCAAACACAGGAATACATTGGCATTTTACAAATTACATTTTCATTTGCTACTGATATGCTTCCATAAGGGAATTCTTAAAACTAAGTAAGTCTTATTGCTGGGCTTACTTCACCAGTGGTCAGTTAGCCACAAGAACCCCTAATTTTGTCTAGGCTCATATGCTTTTTTAAAAAAAGGAGGTCTTTTACTTTGGGTTATATGGAACATTCTACCAAATTAATTCAAACTGCGGTGCCAGAAAAAAAAGAGAAAAAGTATTCAGACCTTATTCGTTTACAAGGATTATGTTATGATTTATTTAAACTCAAGGCATTAATTGAGATAGTAATAAGCTAAATATATACAAAATCATAATTTATAGGGTACTTCCCATTGGGAGGTGGCTGTCCCAGATCCTAAACCCTAAATTTCAGTGAAATTGAAATATTTCGATTTTAAATTTTTAAGTAAAGAAAATTTATACCAAAAATGCAGTTCCACATTTTCATGTCACCACCGAAACACAACGAGTTTTAGAGTAGGAAGTGAGACTGCATCCCTGTCCCTCATGGCCACATGGTGAGCAGGTCCCATTGTTTTGGAGTAAACGTCTCAAAGTCTGAAAACTGGCATGCAACATTAAGAATTCTCACTACTGAAACACATATTTTCTGCAATTAAATAAACGTTTTTGTGTTTTAATGAAAATTTGTATGATTTTACATACAGCAGTTGAAAAACTGCATTTTTTGAGTTCTCAAAATGCTCAATATGTTTAAAATTAGCTTAAATTTAAAGTTAAAAGTCAGAAACTTGTTTTCATCTTTGACTTTGAATCAGTTTAATAGAATGATCCTTAGAGGGTGGAGAAATACTTTAAGTTTAGTTTAATTATGCATTTTTAATTGAATTATGCATTCGTTTTCAAAAATGTCTGGATGGCCAAAAGATCACGTAATTTTGTCTGATCTCAGATGCTGGTTAATGCTTGTATGGGAGACTCACTAGGAATACTAGGACTTTTAGGCTTTTCAGACCTACCTTTATTTTCAGTCCTCTTTGATTACAATCAAATAGTTTATGTGGACTTTTCAGTTTCAATTTCAATTTTCAGAAGTGGTGAGATGGCCATGGGAAATTGTAATAATGTCTGATGCTATTCAGGGTTAAGTCTGGTTAGTACTTTAATGGGAGACCTACTCGGCATGAGTTTGAATCCTGCTAAAAGTAGATAATATTACAGCACAAAAGTATAAAAAAGTACCAGGACTATCAAGCTTTTCAGCCCTTTCTTTTTTAACTTTATATGGGCCTTACTGGTTTAGAGTGGTTTGATGGTGGGAAACAAAGTAAAGTGCTACAGAGCTGGTAACACAAACATCAACAGATAAGCAGCAACAGATGAGTTACAGTGTCTAAAAGGTCAAGCTACAAGATAGGGCTGATGATGTGTTTATATAAGTGGCTGATGATGTGTTTATATGTGTGTTTGTGTTAACAAGTATTCAATAAACTTCAATAGGCTGATGAAACAGATGAAAAACACAGGCATGTAAACTTCTCTTGCAGATATTAAAGATGGAGCCTGTCATTCAGGAAGCAATAACAATCCAGAACTTTTGTTTTATTTTCATAGTCTAAAATGTAAATAACATAACAGGATTTGATAATAAATCCTATGGGCACAAAAATGTTCCACTGCAAGCGCTTATTTACAAGGAGAAAAATGAACACAAACATATATACAGTGCTGTGCAAAACTTTCAGGCACCTGAGAAAATTACATTGAAAAAGCTGTTTATCAGGGAAGCAGATATTACTACAGGTATTATTCGCTCAGAAAACAGTAATATTGGAGTAAGTACAAATAACATGATTTGGCTAATTAATACTCATAAGGTGAAATGAAGTGTACTTCTAGTGGATTTGAACAAATCCATGCAATGACTGGGAGTGTTCAGGAAAAATCTTGAACCAAAGTTTATTCTTTAAACTAGCTCACAAGACATCTACCTTTTTCAAAATAAGAAAGTCTTGTTACTTTTTACTGTATTTATGTTTATTTACTTCTATTCTAATAATATATGGTGTTTTTACTGCGAAAAATACACTCATTGCGAAGATAATTGTGCTTAGGTGCCTAAGACTTTTGCACAGTACTGTGTGTGTGTATATATATATATATATATATATATATATATATATATATATATATATATATATATATATATAATGATCAAATTGGACAATAGGTAAGAGTGCTGAATTGGATGTATATCTTTTCATAAATGGGTCAGAAAGATTAATCAATTTTGTACTGAACCAATTATTAACAATATTTCATGATGATCATTTTCTGGCACCCAGGAAATAATTTACCTTATTGTAGAAATAGGCACTGTTAAACATTAACAGGTAATATCTTAAACAAAGCAAATGCACCCACCATAAAATAAGGTTCTTACTTCAGGCCATGCATATACAGCACATGGCTCAGTAAACATTTTGATTGTTCATCCATTTTAGTCCTCATTATTTGTTTGTATTATTCTGAGAGGATCTTTATTTTGACTGCTTCCTTGTCTCCCCCCTGTACAAATGATGTACCATATAGAACGGCTACAATATTTAACAAGCAGGAATGTGGTAAACAGGATTCTATTCTACAGTGTACACGAAATAATGGTTTGGAATTAAATACAACCCTTTTGTTGGTTCTTTCCAGGACATAAACACATTTCGATCAAACATTGCATCACCTCTGAATAATGTTTTGCACAAAATACAAAGTACAAATGGAAGCTATATCAGTTCAGCTGAAGAGTATGCGTGCTATATCAAGTTAAGCCAAAACATTTACAATAAAAAAATGGATTAAAGGTGAACATTTCAATGTCAACACAGAAGAGCAACAAATACATCAAATCAAATAATACATATTTTTAAAACTTCAAAGTTTTAAAGAAAGAAAGTGCTCTTGTCAGACCTGTAAAAAAATAATTTGTACACCTCCTATCCAATCAAGGGCATTTCTTATAGACAGTCTCTCATACGTTGTGTTTATCGATGGACCTTCTATCCATCCTAAGGGCTTGCTTGATCTCTGAATGTGCTTTTAGCCATGCTCTGTCATTTGTTAAATGGTAGGCAAGCTGGCAGTATGACAGTAGCACATGCTGGTCCAGCTAAAGGCTCTGCTACTTCACCTTCCAACTCGGTCCATGTGCCCTTCTCTGGACTGTAGCAGATGGTGGATGACTTGTATGCCCCCTGCACAGAGAATAGTTCAGATAAATTCTTTAACAGTCATTTTCATTTAACCAGTTGACGAGGCGTACTTACACCGAGTTGCCAGTTTAGGTGGCACCTACATCATAACTTTACTTATTAATCTTTTTATTTATTTAATTTTACTTTATTTAATTTTTAGTCAAAACAGCTATTAAGTTATTTATTTTTCAATGTAAGGACCAAAGCAGAAAACATATTTAATAGAAAACTGTTTCAACAACTAAATATAATTTCAAAGGTTTCAGTATTTCGTGTTTCCACCCTTTTCCTTTATTACAGCTTCCATTCTTTTTCAAGAGACTTGCTTTCAGTTTTTCAAAGATGTCTGCAGGGATATTTTTCCATACTTCTGTGGTTCAGTCTCAGCAGTTGGTTGCATTTCCTGCCTCTCACAGTCTAAGTAATCCCAAACTCATTCAATGATGTTGAGGTATGGACTCTGAGGTCCATTGTTCTGAGAACACCAGCAGTTTCTCAGTTTGATTAATAATGTCTTTTCTTTTCCTTGTCTAATACATTTTTACTTAGCATATTTAACAGCTTCCTGACAGCTACACATCCTTTCAGACCCATAGTGCTAAAGTTATCTGCTCACAGCTGTGAATTTTTCAATGTGAAGGCAGGATAGAACTTGACTTTCTCTTATCACTAAAAGAAGACAGCTTTAAGTACTGTTTATCTGATGCTGACAGTTTTGGTCGTCTGTCAGGTCTGGCACAGTGCTTAGAAGTCCCATTTTCTCTATGTCTTTTGTAAATTTTCTGAACTCCAGTTTTGGAAACTACTGTTTTTTAATTTCCTTTAAGGCCCTTCCTTATGCAAGTGGATTATCTTACTGGCATCTTACTGGTATCTTAGTAGTGTAAAATGGCTGTTTTGACAGGAATTGAGTAAATGAAGGTTATTCCCTTGTTTTTGTACAGTACTATAGGTGCTTTTTTCAGTTTACTGTTACTGACTGTAGCCCATCTGTTTTACAATTTATCAGCCCGCTTCCATAAATGGAAATGGACCACCATAGGGCCACCACTGACCAGATATTTTGGTGGTGGACCAGTCTGTAGTGACATTGGCATGGTACATGACAGTACGTGTGATGCTGGGAGTTGTCACTGTTGGGTTGACGACAGTCCACTAACACAAAATATACAGCCAGCAGTTGTTCTAATCTTAATAACAGACCACTGCTGAAGGACTAGAGGATGACTAACATGAAATGTACATGCAATGAAAGGAGTGATAATCTCCAACTGTACACCAGCAAAGTAGGTGTGTCTAGTAAAGCATATAATATTCAACTATAACAAATCATTTTCGATAACAATCTTCTACAATGCCATAGTGTACTTCCAGAAATACAGGAAAGTAATTTTACTTAGTTAAGTATTTTACACAGTACATTATTCTTATTCTTATGAATGAAAAGGTTGGATATATTCACCATGCTCCAACTATAGCCTCCAACAAGGAAAATGCTGTCGTCCAAAACAGCACAGCCGGGGCCACTGCGCCCCTCTAGAATGGGCGTCTGCAGGATGTTCCACTGATCTGCTTTAGGGTCGTAGCATTCCACCAACATCACATCCAAATGAGAGAATCCTACCAAGAGGGGAGATAAATATAATCACATGTGTAGTGTATCACTGGCTTGAAATGCACTAGACTGAAGAAGTATTTTGTATGAAATGAAGACGTGATGATGTGTTAGCGAATGTCCCATTACCAGAAAAAAACATTCAATATGCCTCTTAAATAAATACAAATAAATTAGAGCAGTACTGCTGATATACCCATACATTTTCTAGTTCTACTTTAATTCTTCTATTACTAGGTGTTACCAGGCAATTGTCTGGGATTTCACACCAGCAAATTAACCATGTCAAATATAAAATGACTTTATGAATTCCAGGCATTAGACTGAAGCTGCGTGTTCTGGACAAGTCCCATGCTATTTTTTTCAATAGAAGCAAAAACAAAATCTTAACCTCAAATGCTGATGTCATGGCGCTGCAAATGCCATTGCTTCTTCAGCAAGTTATGAAAGATGTTCTAGTAAAATATGACATAACAAGACTTAAGTCAGCTTTGATGGCCCACTGGCCAAAAGTGAGCATTTTTGCTTAATACTGATTGACTGATTGTATTCCTTCATGTAGTAGCATGTCATTTGAGCAGTTAGAGTGTGGACTAAATGGTCTTATGTGAAGTGCATCAATTAAAAATAGCTAAGTTTAAACCTTTAGTTTTTGGAGAAAAAAATGGCTTGATATCAGTACTGGCCAACACTACTCAGTATCAGCAAAGAAAATGTAGTATCGTGCCATCTGGAGTTGAAGCTGAATCTTGAAATATGTCCAAACAATAAAAATGGGCTGGAAAATAATAAAAATATACACTGTTTTTTAATTCTAAAAGATTTTATAGGAAAAACATAAAAGACTTCATTAAAAATATAAAATACATAATTAAATATATAAAAACACTACCTGGCAACAAAATGCATATAAATATGTATATAAATCAGGATCTAACTATTAGAGTTACCATCATGCTGATTGTCAGTTAATCACTGAAGGCAAATCTTAATTATTGATTTTTTAATAGAGTAATTGAGTTTAATCTGGTAATCATTGCAGACTAAGATTCCATCACTGCATCTGAACAACGTCAGATATTCCAGAAAAGTGGTACGTGCTTGGATAAATGAAGACAATCATGCGATTCTACAATGGCAAATAGTTTTGGCCAAAATAATGAATGCAGGCAGATCTTTAACCTTGTCAGATCAAGGTGTTTTTAATATACTGCAAAAGTAAGGGTGCATGCACACATGCTCAAATTATTATTCTTTTTTTATTAATGAATTGTAAATTCTAGGGAAATCTGAGACAATGCATCATTTCACCTCAAACTACTCTGATTTAATTTGTTTACATCTGAACAATTCAATTAAGCAAAAATTTTGAAAAAGCAGTTTTCCTGCTACAGACCCAACCTTGTGAAGTGCTTCAAAATGCCACTGGGTGGCAGTCATGTTTAAGACTGTATAGAACTTACTAAGCGGATGACTAGAAGATAATTTGAATATACAGTTTGTCAGAACACTGGCAAATTAGCATCCCCCCATTTCATTTTTTAACTTTTTTTACAGAATCCAGAACTCATCTCATAGTGGACCACAGCTTTTATGATACCCAATGAGTCATAATACCTTTAAGCACAGCAGCACAACACATGGTGCGCTGCAACAAGCACAGCTAAATCTCTGAATGTTAGGATTATTTGTGATCTGAGCGTATCACATTTACACATCTCTCACACAACAATGTGCTGCAAAAGAGAACTCGTTGTGAAGTCAAGATTTGATTCTATTTTATGTGTTAAAATGTCTTGAATCTAAAGAGCTCTTATTATATACTATATGGATTTCTTTGGTTCAGGTATGTAAAAGTTCTCAAATCAAACTTTTTCAATGGTTTTCAATGTTTCAGTACTGCTTGAAATTGTTAGACGCTTAGTTTTTATCCCTTAGTATTTATCACATGATTGGCCATTATTAGTCTTACAACAGAAAAGTGTGACAAATTTGGACCTATTAAGCTCTTATAAAGGCATTTCTAATGAACAAACAAAAAAAATTTGTTTCTATACCCTAGGTCCAGTTTTATCAAACAGTACGTCTCAGAAACTGTGCAGAGTTTTTACTTGAAAAACCTTGTGGCATACAACACAGTAGCATAGCCAACATCAAGAAAGTAATGGAGGTTTCATTAAACAGATCTGCTAAGAGTCACATTGTCCAGAATTATTTGAAGTAAGTGATGGGGAAATCACAGGTTCATTGAAAACTGCATTCAAAGGACTAGCCTATACATTAAACAACAATATGTCAACTTGACAACCTTACTTAAAACAGCTAGAGGACAGGCGGAAAGCCAAAAGAGTACATATGTGCAGCACTTACATTATATGTCCAAAAGTTTGTAGACAGCCCCTCATCCAGTGTTTTTTCTGAGATCAAGGCTATTAATAGGGAGCTTCTCCCCTCACCCCTTTGATGGAGTAACAGCCTCTGCTCTTCTGAAAAGGCTTTACACTAGATGTTAAAATACTGCTATAAGGATTTGATTGCATTCTGCCATAAGAGCATTGGTTGGATGATTAATTTTGGATCACAAATGCTCCTCTAACTTATCCCAAAAATAATCGACTGAGGTCTTTCATTCTAAAGAACACAATTTCACTGTGTTCTCTGGTATTTCTGTACCCCTAGCCAATTCATAGCACTGGGCATGGTGATCTTAGGCTCACGTGTGGCTGCTCCAGAGCCCCCCATTCTGTTGGCAATGGTTTTCGAAATGTGTGCGCAATTTACCATGTCAGCAATGGGTGCATGTTAGAGTAGTTAAATTCACTAGTTAGAAGGAGTGTCTGGATAGTTTGGCTCCTTTTGGACATACAGTATGTAAACATAGTAATATAGGCTAAATTCTGTAGTGTAGTATATTAGATCTATATCTGTAACCTCGGGGCTTTTGATGAACTGTTTAAAACATATATAATTTGCATAGGGATGATAGGGGTTATCTTTTCCTTTTGTCAGGCTTCTACTGGACAGTAGTACTATGGAGTTATTTTTAAATGAGTACAATTTTCTGTCACCTACAGTATGTTTCATATGAGCTTGAAGCTTATACCTTTTAAGTGATTTCCACCAATAGCATAGAGGCGATCGTTCATTCCAGCAAGGGCATGTATGGCACGTTTAGTGTTCATGTCCTGTTTCCTGGCCCACACATCCATCACTGGGTCATAGCAGTAGAGCCAGGACACGTACTCCCCATTGTGGACTCCACCTATAACATAACATATACAATATAGTATCTGTACAGAATGGTCATTATTTGTTCTTTTTACAGGTACATGTATATATATATATGTATGTGTGTGTGTGTGTCTGTGTGTGTGTGTGTGTGTGTGTGTGTGTGTGTATGTATATATCTCCAAGGTCTTATTGTTTTTAGACAATTAACAAAGGAAAAAAGAAAACCCCCAATCTATACTGCACCACCGCACCATAAAAGGTCATTCAATTAATTTGTCTTTTTAGAGATGAAGAGAGCTAAGAGAGTAGCAAAAACTATTACCCTTTTGGTAGACTTATTTAGGCAAAACTCCTGTGAAGTTACTCCAAACATTGACACAATAGGACATGGCATCGTTAATGTTTTGAAAACACCTAAGACAAAAGCAAAAAATGACTGCCATAAGATGTTCATTTTGAGCAGGATGACTCATTCTATTTTAGATCACAAACAGGGTCAACATTTGGAGTGAATTTAGCCAGAATAACATTGAACCAATGTAAATGATGTACAATTTTAAACTGAATGACAGTTTGCCTTAGAGTGCAGGGAAGTGTATCCCTATCCAAAATATCTTGCCACATCTCAGTTGATATTTTGTATCAAGCTTCTCCTCCCAATGTTGTTTCAATTAAGTTAGAGGTTTCAAATTATATAAATTAAGCAGAGTATGCCACACCAATGCATTTCTTAGTCTGTATGCTGATTTTCAATATAGTATCTAGAAAGGTGTAAGTTGGTAGTGATGGACATTGTAAATAGCTTGATAACATAAAACTGCAGAGCTGTAAGAACCTAAAGAAATGTAAATGAGAAATATCAAAATGTGTTCTAAGTTGCTCGCATGATAATAAAGTGTCATCAATAAACACTTCTTTAACTATACTGATTCCTCTCTCAACCCAGCTTTTGAAGGCACTATCATTAACCGAGGGGGTAAACATGTTATTTTTCATTATCGTGCTTATAGAAAACTCATTAAGTGTAAAGGCTCTCCTAAGCTGTGACCAAATCTTGAAAGAATGATTCACAATCAGATTTGAGAAATAAATAGATACAGGTTCAGACAGAGACAGCCATGCAGAGAGTGCATGCAGTGAGTTATGGTTACAGGGTGCATTTTCTAGTGACAACCATTTGGGAATAATCTTATCATTTGAGATATTAATCCAATATAGCAAAGCCCTAATGTTAGAAGCCCAAAACTAATATTGAAAATTGGTCAAGGATAATCCACCATGATGACAATGTCACTGGCGTGTATCTTAACGTATTCTAGTAGATTAAGCAATTTTAGCTGACTAGCAAGGAGATCAGGCAGGTATAAGAGCATTTCATCAGCACACAGGGATACCCTATGTTCTCAGGAGGGGCTAGTTCCCCAGCAAATTTCTTTAAAAATTCACTTGGGAACCCGTCTGGTCCTGGGGCTTTTCCACTTTGCATAGACTTCACCGCAAAGACAAACACTTTAACAGAAAATGGGTTGTCGAGCTATTTAAGTTAACGAAAAAATCTTTGAACAAAGACTCATTCTTATGTGACTCCGAATTATATAGCTTGGAGTGGAACTTATGAAAACACTGATTAATCTGTGAATGATCTGTATGCTTAACACCTGAATCATCATTTATTTGAGATATGCATCCGCCAGCATGATACTCACAGTCACTCATAAAGGGAAGAAATTTCTTGTCTAAAAAAGATAAACTATACATGTTTTGTAAACCTATGAACAGAGAGTAGCTCCTTGAATGTGTATTGACACAAACTTTTGGCCATGTAAGTGTCAATATCAAAATACACAAATGAAAAATGAAAACTATTAGACCTAGAAATGCATCCTGTGTATTTTGCTGAGCAAAAAGTGCCAAATATATTGTGTAATATCGAATTTCAGCAGAGCATACCAAACACACAAGCTACTCTATTGCCAGCTCACTAGTGCCCTGCACCCACTTCAATGAATATTTATTTACACCTAGGGTTTTGTGATTCATAAGCTGTGATGCCTACTCTATATCAAAAAGACAATTACACATCTGTTTACAAAAAAGAGCTGGTCTCCTAATAATTTCGTTTTAATTTAAATATAAAATTAGGAATTCTGATTTGTCCCACCTGAGATGTAGATTTTGCCATTATGGACAGCCCCGGCATGTGCTGCGAGTGGCTGGGGAAGGGATGAAACATAGTTCCACTCATTAGTCTCCAGGTTATAGGCCTCCACGCTGGAGAGGTAGCCTGTCTCGTTCCTGCCCCCAATTACATAGAGGTGTTTATCGAGGCAACAGGCAAAGAAACTTGCCCTTCTAAAACAGATCAATCGGATAGACCATAGATTAACAGCAGTTTTTGTGTATTTTATCTTTTTTTCTTTTTTTTTATTACATAAACAAACATTGAGCATGGCACCATACCTCTCCTGCATTGGAGGGAGCTGTATCCAGCTGTTGAATCTTGGGTCATATCGACTGACAAAATTAGTGCTGTGTTTACCTGCATAGGAATAATCAGAACAATTTTCACACATTGATATCTCTTTTCAACAACTTATTTTATTCTATTTACTGATTGATGCACTGTTTGATTTATAATTATTTACCATTTGGATTCCACTGGTCCTCTCCACCTAGCAGCAGAAGAAAGTTCTCAACTTCTACTACACAGTGATGAGCACTGTTATAAGGCATTACTGTAAAACAAAATTGATACAAGCTATTATTTTACTTTATTTTAAATTAACACCTATAAAATCAGTCTAAATTAATTATTCTAATCATTTTAACACATTTTATTCATGTAGCATCTTTCTTTATGTTAAAGCACAACGGTGGTGCAAATGGTGAATCTTCATTGGAAATTCTTTTTAGTCTACAATTAGGCTTAATGCAGTGATTCTGTCAGATGAAGAAGGATGAATAAGCTAATTAATATTTAACCTTGTTATTATGATTATGATTGACAATGTGTTTCTTTCAAAGTGCATCTTAATATAAAGTAATATTTTTGCAGTACTAGTATTTTATCCATATCATGCAGCCTTATTTGAAAGTAATGACTGTATCATGTGTTTAATTCAAGATGAAACAGGCAGCCAATATAACTGAGAATAAGTGTGATGTGTGCTGATTAATTAATGCATGTGAAAAATCTACTAGCATGAACTGAAGTTCATTTAGGGTTAAAAGTTCATTTGCACTTTCAAATCACTTATACATTCTATTAGTGAAGGTCTAAAGCTGTGCTGTACATATGTGTGTCATCTGCATAACAATGCAAACCAAGGCCATTTACATTTGTAAACAAGGGCATGGATCATGAACAGGAGAGTCTCAAACTGATCAAAAACACCCTGCTGCCCTACAAAATTCATAGCTAACAACAAATCATCGCTGTCGGGACAAAATCTTGTATCTCTACATAAGTAACTTGATAAGAGAAGCAAAACCCTCTCTTTTAATGTAAGCTATTGTAAGAAGATTCTCTTTGGACCATTTTTATTGATACAGTGAATTTTGGTGTTAAAAGCAGCTGGTATTTAAATTATGAAAAAAATGAAAAACAGCAAACATGGAGATACAAGGCTTTGTTCCAACAACGACAATATAATGGGGTCCAAAAGTCTGAGCCCACACTAAAAATCTGTTTTCATTTAACTTAGAGTTCATATAACTTAAATAAACAACAGAACATTTTAGAAAAAATATAAACAAAGAAAATTTATGACTAGTAAAATGAAGAAATTGTCACGCTTCCTTCCGTTCTCCTCCCTTGCCTAGCACGCTCCAGGACTCCATTTACCATGATTCCAATCCCGATGATGTCACCCTTTCCTCCAATCACGCGCATCTGCCTCGTTCTCAGTAACCGAATTCTAATGCGATTCACCTGTGTCTGTTTGTCTCAGACTTTAAATAGTCTTTGGTTTGTTCTCCTCATTGTGAGGTATTGCCCTTCACTGGACCACTGAGTGTTATTCTACTGTTTTCTCGACTTGTGTTTTGAACGCTTTGCCTGTTTTTTGGATATTGCTCTTTTGTATTTGCCCTTTTGCTCTGGTTACCTGTATATTTTGTCTACTCTGGTTTTTGACTCTTGCTTGGTTTTTGGATTCTGATTTTGGTTTTGCCCTGAGACTGTCTTTCCATCTGACACCTCTCTCATTAAACAGACTTTTGTTTTTAAGATCTGCGAGTGTCTTCTTGTACTTGTGCAGCGTTACAGAAATTTACAAGCTTCTGTACTATTTGTATGGAAAAACTCAGTCTAACCATTTTAATTAGCACTAGTACTAACATTTCACTTACACAAATATTTAGATTTATATGTAGCTTCGCTGAAACAAATGTACTTCCAGAACTGCATACATACATACATTATCTAAACCGCTTATCCTTCTGGGTCGCGGTGGGGTGCTGGAGCCTATCCCAGCTGTCATTGGGCAGAAGGCAGGATACACCCTGGACAGGTCGCCAGTCCATCGCAGGGCAGACAGACAGACATACACAGTCACACACACACTCACACCTAGGGGCAATTTAGCACGTCCAATTGGCCTGACTGCATGTTTTCTGACTGTGGGAGGAAACCGGAGTACCCGGAGGAAACCCACGCAGACACGGGGAGAACATGCAAACTCCACACAGAAACGGCCCTAGTCGCCCGGCCGAGAATCGAACCCAGGCCATTCTTGCTGTGAGGCGTCCAGAACTGCATATTTATGCTATATTTGATTATGTAATAATGGTGTTAAAATAATAATTAAAATGTAATTTACCTTATATGCATTTGCACTGTTCAATGATGTATTTGAAATTGCACTCAAATGGAACACCATGCTAATAGATGGCTAAATTGTAAAAAGGAACCCTCTTCACGTTCAGACCACTTTGCAATTACACATTCTCACCTACTGCAGCAAAATGGTTTTAAAAATGGTTTCATTTAACCTGATTACATTTTCATTTTCACAGATTTCCCAACCCCCAAAATGCCCTCAGGGAAGGGCCAACAGCACGTTCAGCAGAAAAGGCTTTATCTAAAAATATGATGGGAAATTTTACTTTAGAAGATGGGGCAATAGAGAGCAATGTATTCACTTGTGATGCTTACTATGTCTTCATACATGACCCATGAAGAATCTTTAATTGAAAATCGGATTTATCCGACATTAAGATGGTCATACACTACATGACTTTTAAAATCGTAGGTTAACAGATGTTGAAAACGGAGAGCACCACAGACTTAATATCTGTCTTTAACAGAATTTCTTGTTATTTTCTCAGTAGGATGCACATACTAGACAAGTCAAAAAGAGGGTGAGCACACATAAGAAGTTTGAAAAGCATTCCAAATCCCAGATTTCACTGGTATCACATGACACAAACAAAGCTAAACTGGACCGCGCCTGTTTGTGCTTTTATGCACTCTTGATGGGCGCTGGCTCTTTTCAGTGAGTCAGATCAATCAGCTCAGCTCACCAATAAGTCCACCAATGAGTCCACTCTTTCAGCTCCCAAACAGCTTTTTATTCAACAGCACTGTCTGTTTTTTTGATTAGCCAAGTTAACAATATTATCTAGCCTAGCATTTGGTCCGAACCAAGGTTCATATTTTTGTTACATTGTATACATCTGATCTGGTAATTTTTGGTTTCACTTTGCAATTTAGCAAGCGTACTAAAGACCTTTGCATGACAAACATACTATCACTACAGGCTGCGTCTCCCTATACATAACATTGATTGGTTTGTAGAGGAGCATGCATCTGACATCAGTATGTTGTCAGTTCAGCAGGTAGCATTTTCTGTTTGAATGGAGAAAAATTAATATCCTCTCTCTCATCCTCTTCGAAAATAAGGTATATGTTTCAGCATTTTTATGCGTTTTTTCAAGTTGGGTTTTGACTTTTTTGTTGGACCAAATTACAATTAAATATTTTGTCTCCTCCTCTCCCCATGGTTCAGTTTGATCCAGACCAATATCACCTCTTTTAGTTGGACCAATTTTGGTCCTTCGGTCTGGACTGTGTGGTTCAAGGCACTCTGACATCAATTGCTTACAATCAAGCTTTTGACCTGGAAAATTGCTTCAGATTGTGAAAATTTGGCTGAAGGGGCAGATCAGGCTAAAACTGTGTAGTGTAGGCCCAGCTTTAAGCACCAGAACATTACTGCTGCACAGTTTAAGATGGAATAGAAACTTTGAATAGTTCAGTTTATCAGCCAGACTAATTAACTAGAAAACTTGGCTATGTGTTCGATTAAACACTTTCTCATTGGAGAATGTGTAAATACAGTGGGCATCACCAATGGATATCTTGCTCTGCTTCACCTCTGCTAAGATAAAATAGGTACCATTTCAGGTAAAGCCTTGACAGGATGACTGACAGGTTGGGGAGTCTATGAAAATAATTTCCCTTTTTTAATTTGAATTTAGATATCTTTCTAGCTTGCTATTCTCTTTGATAATGCAATTTCAAATGCATTATTAGAAAGTGCTATTACAAATGACTGAAACTGAAAGAGGCCTCTCCATGTTTTCTGTATTTTAAAGACTGAAATATAAACAGACAGATATTCTGTGATGTAAGCAGGTGCTAGGTCATTTAGAGCCTTAAAAACTAGTAACAGAACTTTAAAATCTATCCTGAAAGATACAGGGAACCAGTGCAATTCTAGAGGTAACATATACAAAGGGAAAAGCAAAGACATTAAAAATGAACACTGTGGGACTCCACAAGAAATGTTTCATTTTTTGATGAATGATTTTCCAGTGAAACCAAGAACTTTCTATTCATTAAAGCAACATTATGCAAAAATTTTACCTAAAAATAAGAGCTTCAAAATCATTTTGACAGTACACCGACCTACAATAGCGAAAATGACATCTCTGTCATTGTCACTTTGGGGCCAGAACTCCTGCTACAGCGCTATGTAACTTTGGAGGAGTGGGTACAAAACCTCTCACAAGAGTTGCGTAACTCTTTATGGCACCACATCACACATCGTCAACTATGGCTCTTCTGCTAGCTATAAGAAGAAGCGAGCTCCCATCATGGACATCATGGCAGAGGTGGTAAAGAGATAAAAGAAGACACTGTCGGAGGAAGCGAAGAAGAGAAAAAGAGAGAATGACAGAGGACGACACAGAGAAAGTGTAAATCTCTACTGGCTTTTACTCGTTGGTAAGACCTAACAGAGATAAAAGTTTGCAAGACAGTCTCACAGCTAATGGGAAAACAACAAAAATCTGACAGCAGAGTGTACATCCCTGCCAGTGTTATTTATGAAAGACTGCAACAGAGGCTGTAACCTTATTGGTGTCATCCCTGTCTCATAGAGTTTTGTAGTTTTTCTGGATGCCGAAAGTCATCTAACCTCAGTCTCATTTCCAGCTGGCATGCAAAGAAATAAATTAATTAATTAATCTCAGCCAAAAAGTCTGGTCAGTCTTTGTCAATCTCAAACCAAATAAGCCTTGAAAGTCTGAAACCTTACGGAATAAAATCATGTAATATTGTTCTACCTTGTCGGCATGACGTTCAGGGCTGGTGTTGTGCAGGAGAACTCTCTTTTGCGTGCACGCCTGTCATGTAGGCATATGGACGCTGCAGATTATACTCACGATTCCAGTTGTTTACATACAGAAATATAGAAATCACGAGAATCTGCAGCATCCATGAGCCGCCTCA